GTGCTCCCTTTCCTTACTTCTGTGTTTCTCAGAAAACAGTGAATTTTACCCATTTACCCATCTGATGAGCTTCSTCGTTAGTGACTGGCTGTAATACCCATTTCATAAAGTTATTCAGRATATATTCCTTCACAAGAAATCCAAGCACTTTTCCAAGTTATGTGTAATGGTCCCTCTGGGAAGAAGCATGGCTTCCACATTACCACTATCAAACTGATGGCAAAAGGTGTTGARGTGGCACTGAGTTAGAGTCAAAAACTAAGGAAAGCCAGACTGACTCCTCTGAATGCTAAGAGACTTTCTTACCCTTAGCTTTGAAATATTTCACCAAACGCTTCATTATCCAGCAATTATGTTTTTTGACTGTAAATGTGACGCGCGTTAATTTGCATCTGACAACTTGAGAGCTCAGTTGGTGGCACATTGTGTGTTCAGGTGATGGTCACATGCTGTTGTGTCATATAAGTATGTCACAACGTTACATGCTCACACATGTAGTACTGCTGTTAYATGCTGAAGGGAAGCAATTCTTTTGTAGGGAAATGGCAAAAAAAGCAGAGAGGAATCTGAGATTCCGTGTGGTGCGGTTGCTTCCAGCAGAGCTGTTCATTACACAATAACTCTTGTAAGTATGCAATGCCTCTCCCACCCACAGACAAATCAATGTCCTGAAGTTTTGTGAGGCCACTGGGAGTAGTAGSTGCATTTAGCTGGAACCTAAAATCATGTATTTTAAATGCTTTGCCAGACTGTTGTGATCTGTATCTGTAGGCAGCTGTAGTGGTGTATGGACAAAGTTCTGGGAAGCTGCAGGGAGCTGCAGGGTGCCCTGGGCACTGCATAGAGGCACTGTGACACATCAGCAGTGGGTAACCATTCATTATGCAGGGAGATTGAGTAATGAATTCCAGGCAAGCAATGTCACTCAGAAATTCTGAAACTAAAATGCTGATCACAGGTGTAAAGAGCATGAGTGGATTGAGGTTTTTCTTGTATGACTATTTGTAGGTAATTGGTATGAAGTCATGTGGGGAAACTCCTCTCTAAGTACAATGTGTGCTGGAGAGAGTAGTGAGCTGAGTTACTATAAATTCCTAAGAGGAAACTTTGATTGGGGGAAATATTTATTAGCATTTTTTCTTTTTATGCCTAAGTGTACCTATGTGGCCACTCTATGCACTTTGAGCTCTGGTATAGTTAAATTTCACATTGCAATCACTTAGTGTAGTGGAAAGGTCTTTCACCATCTCCCCCACTCCAGTCCCCATTCATAAATAAATGTATATCACAGATCACAGAGTTCCTTTCCAGCTCTTCACTCATCTCCTAGTTTAGCCAAAAYCTAGAAGAGAAAATTAGGCTGAGTCTTTTGAAGTGCAGCACATCCAGGCTCTGCAGGTAGAGGATGGGAATGCCCACTGCAAATTCCTGCTCTCCTCACTTAAAATCAAGCTGTGTACCTGCATGACCTCTCCTTATTCTAACAGTCCTGATTAGCAGAGTCCTTGAGATAACCATGTCCCAGAGGTGCAAGGGTTCTCATAATGAATGTCAGAATCAATATTGTGGGAATTCCCTACATCACAGGATCAATTGATGTTCCTGTGCGATGCACTTAATGGTAGATTGCTGCAGCCTATATTTGAGTTTTTGTCTTGTCCTAGCACACAGCACCATGAAGAGCATATCAAAATGGGCCACAGACCATTCTAAGTTCCATGGAGGTAYATTCTTGCAGTTGGTAGGTTGCAAAAAGCAACTTATCACATCTGCCAACAGCATCAGTCCAAGATTAACCTACATTCCTCTGTCACAAATGAGTAGGCACATGCACAGTTAGAATCAGGAGTGCATATCACCTTTTTACCAGTGCACTGTCTGTCTGCTCAGGTAACACCATTTCAAGACCCTTGAAATCAAAATTCCCAAATTTTAGGTCATCTTTCATGCATTTATTCCTTCTGTTTCTTTGGAAGAGCTACTTGACCGCTGTTGTTGTTTCCTGTCTTGGCACAATGGTGGTAATATTTAATCAGTTACTGAATAGTCTTTATGAAGTTGTAATATATCAGCRTGAAATTCTGGTATTGTATCATTCAAAGTTCTTCCTGTGCAGCAATTTCTCTGCTGCAACATAAGAAGGRTCCTTCAGTAGGTGGTTTCTAAAAATACTGATTTGGAAACTAATTTCAAAAGAGTCCTCCTTGTTTATTGATCCATAACTTCTGTATAATTTGGGGGGAAGGGAGAGGGGATGATGAAATCTGTAAGGGCAGGTACCCATACTTGTGATAGCTCTGCTGAAGCACCATTCTTGATGGCCTCTGCAGCCACACTCTGTTGCCTRTCTAACCTCACACTCCTTTTCCAGGCAAATGTACTTATACCCCTGTCAGATGTTGCAGAATTTCAACAACGAACATGTCTACAAATAGATGTGTTCAGAGCTCCCCTAAAATTATTTCAGTTTGCTGAGCTAGCTCTAAGCCTCATTAGGCAGTGATATGGTGGCCTTTGACAGTTTTTGGAGACCTTTTTCTGTCCTTCTTGGAAAGTGACCTCTTTAATTCACAAGTTCCTAGTCAAACTGTCTGCATGAGTTGTAATTCATCTGATTCTGCAGACCATAACAAGTGATTTAGTAGCAGCTTTATTGTGTAAACCTATACATAGTAATTCAGTCCATATTCTCAAATTTAAAAATCACCACTTGATTTTTTGTCTTCCTACCAAGGAAGACAAACTCCTGCCAATGAGGAAAACTGCTCTACCAAAGACATCTGTGGACTCTTAGCAAAATAGTTCAAAGCTGTTCCACCTGTGTTTCCCAAATGTGAAACAAGATATTTTCTTTTGCTCATCTTTTGTCTTGTTTATTAAATAATAAATCCTTCAGAGCCAGAAATGTCTGTTATAGATATAAACAGAACATGTAATTTTGATTTGGGCTTCTAGTGGCTAAAAAGGAGTGTGAGGTTTTTTATGTTCACTAGAGAATTGGTGGATGATTAGATTAACAGTCAAAATTTACCAAAAATGGACTTGAAGTTGAGAAGCCATGATGAGCTTAGAAGTGCTGATTTAAGCTCTTATTAAAAAAAATCACCTTTAGATTACTGGTAAAGAAAGAGAAAATACCAGCATGGCACTGTATTCACAAAGTAAGTAATTGTTCATCCTTATCTTGAATATTGTGCAAAGATCCCCTTATCCCAAAAATCCATAAAAGTGGTACAGCTCAGAGAGGGATAATTAAGATGATCCAAAGACATGGAAGAGCTTTGTTATAAATAATAATTGAGTTGGCTGTGACTCTTCAATCTTGAAATGAGAGAAGAGCTGTATGACAAAGATAGATACCAAACAATTTGTTTCCTCCAGCACAAGAAGTAAGGCACATTAGATGAAGGCACTTGGAGCAATATTCAAAGCAAACAGATTCTCAATGCTCTGGACAGCAGGCCTGTGGAAGGGCAGCTTCCAGGTCATTGCCAAGGCAGCTGTGGATTTAAGACTGGTCCAATGARGGAATAAAAAAAGATCCCTACATATCCAAGTCAGGAAGTTCTCTGGAGTGAAAGCAGTAGGAGGTTGAAAGCATAATGGCCTATAATACACCCCTCCCCTATTTTCATTCCTCCTTAGGTATTCCTTGGAGCCTCCAGGACAAGATGAACCTTTGGACATAGCTTTATATGGCCCTGTAATTACAAAACATGGTACCTGCTATAGTCATCCCTACAGCATCAGCAGTTAAGGGTCTCTCTGGAGTGTGTGCCTGGAAAATGGTATTCATTCAGGATTTCTCAGTTGTTTGTAATTGTACGTTGCAATTCTACCCTGATCTTCGTGGTCAGGGCAGTGCCTTGATTGACAGCTTTCTGTTGATTCACTGGATGCCACTGATGAAGGCACTTTTAGCTGCTTGACACAAAGAGCTTAAGTGGGATCAAAAGTATACTATTCCTCACACAGGGGCTGTCTTTGATTGTGTTAGACCATATTACATAGTTGTATTATTCTAACTTTCACTAGAATAACTTAATTTATAATAAAAGCAATGGGAAAGTAATTATTAGAATCACACTCGATTTTCTTTTTTTAAGACATCTTATGGCATTAAGAACTTGAAAAACTTTCGGAAGAATACATGGAATCAGGGTGGAAACTGGAGATTTCAAATTAACAGCCAAATATGCAGTCATATGTATTAAGTATTTTCATCTAAGTGGCTAAATTAGAAAAAAAAAATTATATGTGTTGTTATTTTCCTACAGAACATGAACAAATTTCACTATATTAAACCTGGACTGCTGCTACTCTCTTTTGCAGTCCCTCGGGCAGGTTTCCGGCCCCACAGATGAGGTTCTGGAGCGATGCTGCGGGGTGACTCAGGAACAACCGCCTGTTTCGAGAGTCAGTGCCGAAACTGCCGGGGTGCTGGCGGTGAGTGATGGGCAGCCCGTGACTCCCGTTTCCCCGCTGATCCCAATTATCCCGGCACTCGTGACGGCTGCAACGCCTTCCCGCCAAAGGTGCTCACCGGAGGCGTTGAGTGAAATGACGAAATTTGAGAAACTTCTCCGCCCCTGTTGGTCCCTGGGGTAAGGGCCTGTGAGGAAAGGTGCAAAAAAACCTAAAAAACCCCGCATGCAAGCAGACAAACGAGACCCCGACAGCCCCTCACAATSGCCATGCAATGGGGGACGGGGAGGGGGCAGCACTGAGGGCAGCCGGGGAGCACACGATCCGCTGCCGAGGGGAGCACGGACTGTCCCCGACGCTGGGCATCGGCTCCCGCGTTCAGCCCGCTCGGCCCCGCGTTCAGCCCGTCTGGCCCCGCCCGGGCCCCGCGTTCAGCCCGTCTGGCCCCGCCCGGGCCCCGCGTTCAGCCCGTCTGGCACCGCCCGGGCCCCGCGTTCACGCCTGTCGGCAGCCCCGGGGCGCCATCTCGCCCTGCGCTGCTGATGCCGCCGCCAGCGGGCGCTGTGGTGCGGCGGCGGAGCTCATAAAGGCCGCGGGGCAGCCACAGCGTGYTCTTGTGTCTGTCGCTGTCTGCGTGTCTGTGACTGTCGCGCCGCCCTGCCCGCCCGCGGGATGCTGGCGCTGAGCGCCGCCCGCCGCCTGCTTCGCCCGCCCGGGGACCTGCTGCCGCCGCCGGGGCTCGCCTGCATGTGGGCTGCCGGCGCCCGCGGCTGCAGCGGGGCCGCCGCCRGCTCGCCGAACCCGGTGGTGTACTTGGACGTGGGCGCCGACAACCAGCCGCTGGGACGCGTCGTGCTGGAGGTAGGGGCGCGGGGCCCAGGGGACGGTGCCCGCGGAGCCGAGGGCGGCCTGGCCCCGGGCATGGCGGCCGGGGAGCGGGCAAGGTCAGGGCGGGCGGGCGCCCAGCGCCGGCTCCAGGGGCCGCGGCGAGGGCACACCCCCCTGGTGCAGGCGGGAGAACGACCCGGGGGATGGCGGGGCGGGCAGGGCTCGGAGCGGGGCTGGAGCGGTCCCTAAAGCCGTCCCGCGGGGCGGCCGGGGGGGAGGGCAGGGCCCTGGTGTGGCTGTGAGCCTCCAAGGAAGGTCACTTGCATAGTAAGGTGAAATACTGAGTGAGAATAAACTTACCGCTGTTGCATACCGCTGGCTTGAGAGGAGCGAGCGGGGTCTCCGAGACACTGAGGTCTCTCGCYTTCCCGCCTGGGACAGCCGTCCCGTGGAGCCCTTCGGCCGCATTTCCAGCTTCATCCTGTTTTTTTGCTGGGTGCTCGTGGTGTGATTCGTGGGTGTCCTGAGGCGCTTGCCTTTCCTCCACGTGCAGCGAAAGGCCCCGCGCTGCTCGGACGGGCAGCAAGCTCAAGAGCCGAGTACCTGCTGGCTCCATCCTTAAAAACTCAGCCTCTGAAATACTCGGCCATGTAAATGAGGCCTGAACAGGAAAAATTCTGTAATCTCACCGCTTAAAAAAAGCACAGTGAGCACTACCGTGTTGTCTACATGCGTCCTTAGGGTGGGCCTGTGCCTCAGGTACATGCATTCTCTCCAAAAGRAGTTCCTTTGAGACTAGAGCCCAGTGTATTTTTATTCATTGAAACTGTCAGCAAATGAATCAATTGGATTCTTCCAGCTCTTGTGCTCTCCGAAGGTAGCATTTCAGGGAGTCATAGGTAAAAATATTGCTGTGCAAGTTCCTTACTCATTAATGAAAAATCTGCATGGTATTATAAGCAAAAATAGCCTTAATGCTCCTGTATTTCTTGTGGCAGCATTTAATTTATATGCTAAAAGATTTTTAGTGTGCCCAGTTTACAGAAAATCTGAATGTATTGCAGCATCACCTTGAATCTTTGACTGAGCTGTGGTGATCTTCAGCTGTAAATTATAGCTATCAGAGGAGAGTATTCTAGGGACGAAACATTAAATTCTTGCTGCACCCATGCTGCTTCTAGGTATCTACTKCTGGCCACTGTTAGGATGTCAACTAGGTAAAACTTTAACTAGTATGGCCTCTTTTATGTCCTTTTTTAAGATTAGTAAAAAGGTGGACAGTAATCAAAATCAGAAGTCTTCGCTGGTTGCAAATATGTATGTAACACCATAAGTCGATTTTGATACACAGTTTCTGCTTTTTTTCTTCTGCCTTTTCTGTTGTTTTCAACAGCTGGCTCTGGCGGGGGGAGGGGGGAGACTTTGGTCTCTGTAGTTGTATGCAAACTATTTTGGTCCTCRGGGTCTGTAGCGAAGATTCTTCCTAGTTACTGCTCAATTATGTGTTGATCAATGAAATCATTGAACACTGTTCAAGTAACTCTTCATTAACTGCCTAAAAGTTGCRTTGAGGGGATATTTTTAACTGGTGGACAAATGCTTGGAAAGTTTTGAGGTATTCATGGAATTATGGATGGCTTGTGATTTCAGATAACTCACCRCTTTGGGAAGAGGGTTCTGCTGTACCAGTCTCCCATGTAACTGTCTGTTTATGTACATATGAAAAAGCTGACTAATTAATTTATTTGTTTATTTTTTCTTTAACAGCTGAAAGCTGATGTGGTTCCAAAGACAGCAGGYAAGGCAGCATCTCCATAATTTTGAACTTACATATTTAAATTTTAGATTGTGATTTGCAGGAATGAGAACATTCTTTTACCCTTTAGAGCTTTTTTTTCATATTCCATCCCAATTCATTATATAGAGAGAGATGACTGGAAGTGTTAGTGAGGAGATAGAATTTGTTATTTTTCCAAATAGTTTCATTTTGTAATTTGCACCAAGATAGTATGCTTCATATATTCAGTTAACAGTGATGAATAAATACGTTTAAAAYCACACCAGCTGGCATTAAAACCAAACCCCAGAGCAAATGGGGAAGGGGGGTGGTCTTTCTTAGAGTTTCCAAAGAGGATGTTGGGTTTTATTTTACTGGTCAATAGCTGATTAGTGCATTCATTTTACAAAGTTCGTGTGGTTTATCATTTGTTTCCTTCCTCATTTGCTTATTTAGTGGTTCTGAAAAAAAACCTTTCACTTTCACTAGTAGAGAAATACAAAAGAAAAAAGGCAGCATCCTCACAACTTCTGTAAAGAACAAAGGCATAAGAGTCAGAATATGAAACCTTTGACTGCAGGCAAAGATRGGGGAAGTTGGGGAATTGGAGTCACAGCAAAATAAAAGGAAGATGAGATTGAGAAGGATTTTATTTGTACCCCATTCTGAAGCTAAATAAGCTTTGTTTTCTTGGCTTTATAGCAGAGSGTTTTTTAAGTATGGAAGTAACTCATAGATAATAAGACTCTAAAGATACAGTAGAGGTTTTGAAGTGTATGATCTTGRGATATGGTTAATCTAGCTGTGTTTGATTGTATTGCCATATACAATACAGAATGTAATACTTTATGCATTGTTTCCACAGAAAACTTTAGAGCTCTGTGTACTGGTGAAAAAGGATTTGGGTACAAAGGATCCACTTTTCACAGAGTGATTCCTTCATTTATGTGCCAGGTAATGTTTTTTTTTAGTTTTTTTTTATTATGCATATTTTTAGAAATAGACTAGTARTAATGTTTGAAATGGCTCTGCTCTAACCTTTGCTAACAACATGACAAAGAAATGGCTTCTGATCTTTTTGCAATGCTGTTGCTTAACTCATCTTCTGTACAAATAAATGTAAATTATGTGTAGGTGGTAAAAAAGGCCTGGCTGAAGGCTTTCTGCTGTTGTATAGCAGTATACTTTAGTGTGGGRCATAGTTGACAAAATGGCACTTGCTTGGCAGAAGCAATTGTGGGTAGAATGACAATCAGCTTACTGTTTTTAGTGAGCTAAGCAAACAGTGTGTCCATTCCTTATTCCTAGTAGAATAATCTGTTCACAATAGATGATGTGTTCTTATTTTTTTTAACGTCTCCCTAATAYGGAGGGGATGAGGAAACCAAAAGGGTTGAGTTGGAGTAGATTTTTGGGATGACACACCTAGGATGGATTTTGTTTGGATATAAAGGATGAATACTTTGAAATTCTGGATAAGAGCCCCATGCACATTTACRATTTTTTTCTTAAATAGGAGCAACAAAAATAACAACAACAAACCTTTTTGAAAGCCTCTTTTTGTACACTACTTGGCAGATGAGCAGGATGCAGCTGCTGYAGTGCACTGGATTGTATGATTTCTGGTGGTTCTCTAACTTTAAAAAAGGCTCTGTTTCAACAACATTGCATTGTTGAAAGGCTTTGTAAAAAAATTGACAAAAAGTTAAGAAAATTTGAAGGTTATAGTAAGTGTGCTTTATTTATTARCTGATGACTGTGGTGGTCTCCCATCCTCAATTATTATTTTAAGCAAGGATATGTTTGTTGGAACAAGAGGCCCTAGTTGTATGACCTATTTCTAAGAAGGAAAAGGAGACAGGTGTGCTGGAAAGGACCTATTTTCATTCCTTTTAAATGCAAACTAAGGTTTTGTAATACTGATAGAGGGACAGAGTTTAGAAGCCTTTCTGGGATCAGGAATACATAAATATAAAAAAAATAGAAATCCTGTTTTGCATTCTGTCACTAATTTGTGAAGTTCTGTGTAAATCTGTTCTCCTTGCCATCCTTGTTTTGTCCCTCCAAAATGGACTGGAAATCAGGATACTAGATGGTTGACTCTGTGGTATGGTGAGATAATGAATTGATGTTTAGGAATTACTCAGAGGTCATTGCTAAAGTAGAAACATTGAGTTCAGCAATTTTCAAATGAGAGAAAACAGTAGAGACCTGTGCACTTGTTGAGATGGAGTGTTGATATGATTCAGGCAATTGGTATGGCCTAATTGAAGGCCGTCAYATCCGGGCCTGGGCAATTCCATGTCTCCTCATGACACGCAGCATGCAGAACATAGTTCTGGGACTKTGTAGGAGTAGCTGTGACACCACCTGTAACAGATTAGTCAAGGTGAGAAGGGCAAGCTGAAGGTCACATGCAGTACCTGCTGGGTGTGAGTTCTCTGCCGGCCCGGGGATGTCACTCCTGGACAGGACATGGCAGGTGGCTGGAAGCAGTGGTTAGGAGCCACCTTTGCGAGTCACCCTGGTTGCGTTCTTTGGTTGAACCGGTTTTTTGTGTTTAACCTGAGACAGCTGGTCACAGCTCTTCTGGCAAACAGAATGTAGGCAGCTTAAGCTTAATAYAGCTCTGGTGTAACTAACAACAAAACCTAGAAATAGCAAAGGGCAATAATGGAGGTCCTGATCAACRTTTATACCTCGTGGAAGAAAGGAAGGGGGAAAAAGAGTTGGGAGGTCTTGCCTATGGTAATGAACTTGGGTCATTAAGTTTTGAGGCCTTTGAGGTATTCCTTAAAATTATTGCTGTTTGTTGCATCACATTTGGGAGAAACACTGGGAGGTGGGTGTTGGAGTTATGGATGACAGTTGGAGAATATCAGCAATATCTGGAGCAGAAAWTTACTTTTAGCCTGATTATACCTTCATCTAGTTTCATGGTTCTAGATTGAGTGGCCATGCTCATCYTTAACCTGAAGAGAATTTGTTGATTTGTTGTAATTTTTAAATTTGAGCAAGTGTGTATATTTTCAGTAGCATCACTTTTGATATAAAATAGTCCTTGTGTGCTAGTAGAGCTAATACTCATTTCTGTTTCAGGGTGGTGACTTTACAAACCATAATGGAACCGGTGGAAAATCCATTTATGGCAGTAGATTTCCAGATGAAAATTTCATACTAAAGCATGTAGGACCTGGTAAATAAACATATTCTTTTTACCTTTGGATGACTATAACCTGAAATGAAGCATTGTTTATGAAGATGTGTTTAAAAAAAATAAGGTTTTTTTATATTTGGGGTCACTTGCTAATTACAGAAGTATCAAAGAAATTTAACAATGTGTTGTCTGTCCCTGGTATRTGCTTATTTGTGTGGACTGCTCTACAAATATGTCAGCCCATAAGGGGCTTAAAAATTCTCCAAATGTGATATTATTGTGCTTTTATTTTCCTGTTTCATAAGTCATAGACTTGGATGATTACTGCAGCAGTAAAACAAAACTGTCTGGGGTTTCTTATTGACTAGGTAACACAAGTATGTCCTTTTAWACTCAAATTAACACCAGAAAAAGCWAAGGAAAGGCCATACCAAAGAAATCTGATTGAATTCTATAGTCTCTCTTTTTTGCATTGTTACTTCCTCATCCCAGGAGACTACTGCTGTTGAACCAAAGCTTAGGTGATGTTAATTGCATTCAGGGTGTGTACAACTAATTACATCGTTAACACTCTTGCTGTGGAATGAAGGGAGGCTGGGCAGGAGGGAATAGTCAAAGGCACGAAGTTGGCATTAGAAATAATTTGGAGATATTGTGATACCATCACTTCTTCTGTCTGTTGATCTTTAGTCTAAACGTGCAGAACAAAACTGTCTTCTCTGCATACTTTCTACACTATTCTAACAAGTTGTTGCTGCTGTTCCAGGTGTTCTTTCAATGGCCAATGCAGGACCCAATACAAACGGATCCCAGTTCTTCATTTGCACTGCAAAAACTGACTGGTAAGTTCTCAGTCCTGCAGATTGATCTCATTAATTAATASCTGAATCTGGAATATTTGGGGTTTTCTTAGAGTTTTTCTGTGTTGCTTGTGGGTTGATGGGAGGGTTGCTATTTCCAAATTACTTGATTACAATGGAACATAAATTGGTTTTGGTACTTGAGGGAGGAAGGGCTATGACAGCAACAAGTCTGCTATCCCTCAGAATGTTTGGAAGGTCCAGAGCTAAAGGTATTTTATGTCACTTGAAGAGCAGTTGTTCTCACCTGCTGACCAACTCTACAGCAAAGGAACAATGAAGATCTGCTAACACTGTCTTTGTGGCTGTTTTAAGTAAAACTACCTTTGTGTATTTGTTTTACAGGCTAGATGGAAAGCATGTTGTTTTTGGGCATGTAAAAGAAGGAATGGATGTCGTGAAAAAAATCGAGAGCTTTGGTTCCAAGAGTGGAAAGCCCTCCAAAAAAATTGTCATTACTGACTGTGGCCAGCTGTCCTGACCTTTTACCCTACCCTTCATGACACCTTGGATGCTGTGAAAAATGAATCATAAAAACAACCCAAACATTTCTTATGCCACAAATAGCACCTATGCAACCATRCTGTTTATTTAACTTGGTCCAACTTTTATACTTACATTGAATAATATTGATTAAACTCATAATATAGKAACTGAGGCATGTTGTAACTGCACCACCATGGTAGTCACACTCATTTGGTAGAGTTCCTCTTATGTTCTGCAAGAAATGCTAAGATCACCCTGGGTGTATCTGACTGCGGTGTTGATACTGTCTTTAGTATTTGGGTCTTTTGGGTGTTAGAACAAGTGGTGGAGTTGGCAGCAGGGGTTCTGCAGTTGGAGGTTAGATATGAATTGAGAGATGCCTTGTTTCCTTTGGTGCTAATAAGTGCTTATTTCTTGTTTGTCTCATAAYTTTGAAACAATACTGCTGACCAGTGCTCTCAAGGCTGTCTGCAACAAGACTGGCATTTTATGTGTGCCTCAGTGCCAAGTCTATCCAATAGATCTAACGAGCAACTGTGAGTTTTTTAGAAATTAATTCTCATTCAATCTTTTTTCTTGTAGTCTGAAACTACTTTTTAAAAATTAACTCTACCTTACCTGCTTCAGTGGAGCAATTTCACTTTGGTAAATTGCATCACATTGTGTTAGGCTACTGCTGAGGCTCTACCTGAAATAAGACCTCAGTCCAGCCAAAGGATCTCAGGACTAATTTTATTACGGAACTGTGAAGCGTGCTTCTACTCTGGCATCTGGTTCTGTGAAGAATACAGCTCAGTTCTCAATATATGCCTATTTTTGCACTTTGAGAATATAATCAGTATAGTGAGCTTGCTTGAGTGATTAATAGGTTTGATTGCCTTTTTGTCATGTTGATCCTGTGAAGTCACCCCAACTTGGATATTATGTAGATTGTGATTTCTTCTTATGCATCATCATCATAAGTCAAAATTGGTCACCAGAGAATCACAAGGCCTAATCAGTGCAGCAAAATTGTTCTTGTTGGGGTTTATGCATGAGAAGGAGAGAATTCAGCCAATGAGCTGAAGACATTTCATTTGTGTAAAGCTGTGTGTATGTTCTATGTGGCATGCTTGAGCAGCAACAAATGTTGGAACCTCACACCACTGCCTTTGGAATCACTAAGGCTGTAAAGTGTCAGTGATTATGGGAAAAAGCACATGATTGTTTTGTGCAATAATCTCATTACTGAAGAGAAAAATGTGATTGTTTTCTTCAAATGTGAATTTATTTTCWTTGCAGGATGATAATATGTGGGTTAAAATTAATTTTGTACTGGAATTTTTTGCACTGTGGGCTGCACTTGTGTGTGCAAGGTAATACTAAAAATGTAGTTTTGCAAAAAATGGAATTGAAAAGCTTTTTATTCTTTCCACTGTAGCTGCTTCATCTTTGTAGTATTTTTTAAATATCAGATTGTGTTGGTTTAGCTTATTTCACTTGGATACAATAATTTTTTGTGCATTCTCTTAATTTGTATATGAAAATTAATTAAATACACTTCTGCCACAAAAAAAAAAAAAAAAAACTAGTCTGTTCCTTTGTTGAAAGCAGGAATGTGAGAAGCTGAAACCTCTTGGACCTACCTGGGCTGTTCTATTCTGTTGACTTTGTGATGGATCTGATGTGGTGTTGACAAGCCCTGGTGTCATTCAGGTTCAGCCGGCAAGAAAGGGGGTGATGGTGCATTGCTGTGCCTCTCACTACTGAGCTAAAGTATGTGTCCTGCCGGTTCACAGCTCTGTTCCGCTCTGTCCCTGTCCGCTCACAGCGCTCGGTGTCCCGCTCCTTCTCTGCCTGTCTCTGTCCCGCTCCGTCCCTGCCTGTCCCTGTCCCGCTCCGTCCCTGCCTGTCCCTGTCCTGCCCGCTCACAGTGCTCGGTGTCCCGCTCCTTCTCTGCCTGTCCCTGTCCTGTCCCGCTCTGTCACTGCCTGTCCCTGTCCTGCCCCCTCTGTCACTGCTTGTCCCTGTCCTGTCCCGCTCCTTCTCTTCCTGTCCCTGTCCCCACTCGGTCCCTCCCTGTCCTGTCCCCGCTCCATCCCTGCCTGTCCCTGTCCTGTCCCCGCTCCATCCCTGTCCCTGTCCTGTCCCCGCTCCATCCCTGTCCTATCCCCACTCCATCCCTGTCCTGTCCCCGCTCCATCCCTGTCCCTGTCCTATCCCCACTCCATCCCTGTCCTGTCCCCGCTCCATCCCTGTCCCTGTCCTGTCCCCGCTCCGTCCCTGCCTGTCCCGGTCCTGTACCCGCTCCATCCCTGTCCTGTATCCGCTCCATCCCTTCCTGTCCCTGTCCTGTCCCCGCTCCATCCCTGTCCCTGTCCTGTCCCCGCTCCATCCCTGTCCTGTCCCGGCTCCATCCCTGTCCTATCCCCGCTCCATCCCTGTCCTGTCCCTGTCCCTGTCCCTCCCCTCACGGCGCTGGGCGGGCCCCGCTGCCCGCCAGGTGGCGCCCCGCGCTCGCGGCAATGGCGGGCTGTCCCTCAGAGCMGCCGAGAGGCCGCGGGTCAGAGGCYGAGTGCCCGCAGCCTCCTTGTGCCGCTTGCGGTATCGTCCAGAACGGGTATTTTTGGGAACTAGTGTTTAGAAATCCTGCATAGCTCGAATAGGGCACAGAAGAGAGAGGTACTTGTTGCGGAGCTGTGGTTCCGGGACTCAAACGCTGAGGGATGGCACGTGTGCTACYGGCGTTTTTCACCTGGATGTTTTGAATAAAAGTTTGTACACTGGCGGAGAGGTTTGCACATCCAGGCTGCCTCTGGAATGAGGCAGGGGCACTCCAGGAAAAGAGCCTGCTGAGAGCTTCACGTGGCTACCACTGATGTGCTTCCAGATGCAACACAAGTAAGAAAGCACACCCTTAGGTAAAGTGCAAGTAAATATACACAGAAAAAATGAGTTTATATTTCAAAGTTGTTTCAACAAACTCACAAATGTTTTTGTTTAGTCTCCTGTTTTAATTATTTGTTCCAGACTTTCTGCTTACATAAATTGCTTTCTTTGGTGCTAGACTGAGGTTATGTCTCTTTGTTTATAAAGTTTAAATGCTTTGAAGTCAAGACATTTGAGGTACAAAGTGTTGTTCTCTTTTGTTATGCTGTATACTCTGCTGGTAGAAATAKATCAACAATCAGAACCTCAAAGAAGTGAATTACTGAGACTACAAATCATTTTTACGTGACATTTCTAGGCCAATCATGTGGCCTACTGCTAGCTCAGAATTCTTAATTGGACAGGCACACTCTACCCAATTCAGAAGTAACCAAGCTAAAACACATTGAACTTCAAGTGGAAAGCTTTCAAATCTTGAACTGCAGATTTCTTAATTGGGGCTGACTCTGTTAAGAGACATTGTATGGTCCAGCTGATCACAGGTGCATTTTCATCTTCACAGCCCAGAACATCAATTTGTTGCACTATTGAACTGAAAGCCAAGCCCTGGCAACAATTGYCCTGAGCCTTGACATTCTTTCTCCAGCACTTGCTCTGATTTTTCTGGTATAAATGAGCAGGTCACCAAACTTAAAGCTCTAAAACTGCTGCTCCAGTCTGCCTCTCCCCCCTGATGGGGTAATTCTTCATCTGGMTTGGTAGCACTCCATGCACTTTGCTTGGCATTCACCTGTGTTCACTATGCAGGTTTTTTTTTTTTTTTT